CTGGGTGGTTCAGTTGGTTGAGCATGCGAATTCCGCTCAGGCCATGATCTCCTGGTCCGTGAGTTCGAGCCCCGCGTCGGGCCCTGTGCTGACAGCTCAGAGGCTGGAGCCTGCTTCGGATTCTGTGTCTCCCTCTCTCTCTGCCTCTCCCCCACTTGTGCTCTCTTTCTCTCAAAAATAAACATCAAACAAAATTTTTTTTTAATGCTGACATTACTTTAAGAAATGAAGCATTTGATTGCACATTCTCAGGACCACACCTGATGCTGGAGGAGAGATTGTATTGCCAGGCCCAGATGTCTGCCTTCTTTTTGGGGCAAATGTCCAGGAGCCTGGAGCACTGGTGCTCACTGAAGACAACTGACTCTGATCAAAGCATCTACCAGAGCAGTTCCCTTTTAATCTGTTTTACGTGTTGAGCTTTCATGTGAGACTTACTTCCAAGAAAGTGGGTACAAGCTTGTCAAACAATATGCACATACCCACGCTCATTCCATGAATAATAAAAAGATTCTGAAACCTCAGGGATTCAAAATATAAGCATATGTCAAACATTGATTATGCAAAAAATTATTCCCTTATTTTTATTCAAATATCTGTATCCTCTTCCTTTCCTCCTCCTCCTGTTACTCCTTTTCCTTCTCTTCCTCTTCCTCCTCCTCTTCTCATAGGAATGACTCTGAATCTCTGTCTAGATTTTAGGAAAGAAACCATCTCTTGGTCTCTCCAGGTGGTAGATATACTGTGGAGTGATCCCATGGCTCAGGAGGGCTGTAAGGCCAACACTGTTCGAGGAGGAGGCTGTTATTTTGGACCCAATGTGACAGAACGGTTGCTACAGAAATACAACCTGCAATTCCTGATCCGCTCACACGAGTGCAAACCTGAAGGCTATGAGTTCTGCCACAGCCGCAAGGTGGGTGGGCCATCTGCAGAAGCCCACGAGTGGTCCATATTGCTCCTCCCAGGCCTGGATGAGCTCAGGCTCCTGCTTTCCCACAATCCACTGTGTCTTGTATTTGTTAGCCACTTGCTCAAAGCGACTAGGTCCTTTACTGTTATTTATCCTTGGCTCTCATCGCCTCTTTAAACCTCAAAATTCGATTGCTACCACCACTCACCAATACCCTGAGAGGAGAAAAAGGGGCAGGTATTGTCCCATCTAGTGGCTAGAAATATGGCCTGGTGCTTTCCCAGGCACATCTCTATTCTGTAAGTCACGTTGCTCACTGGCACATATTTCAAACAACAGTACAGGGTAACAGGATTTCTGCACTGTGCCCCAGGCAGGGATTCAGGATTGTTTGTCTTCTCAGGAGTGTACTTAATGTCCTGTCTGATCTTTGGACATCTTAATCCTACAATGTTAGCCTAGCCCAATGCCACTAGGATGAGAGTATTCCCACAAAAACTAACTCTCCAGGAGAATAACAGGTTTCCATGTGGGGGAAATAAAAGATCAACTAATCTGAGAAATGTTTGGTTAAACAGTTATACAAGTTTCTCTACTGTAGGACTTCTGAGAACCATTAGTTTCCTATATTCTTTGTAAATCTCCAAGAAGAGATACACTGTCTACTATTTCCCAATGTATTGACAATGGAAACTTTTTCCACAGAGCATCTCAGGAGGCACAGTACTCTGTAGGAAACTCTACTTTGAGGCCTCACACCAGCTTTGATAACTGGCTTGCCAATTGTAACGACCCTTCCTAATTTATCGGTTCCAGCTTGCCTCTAAGTTGAACCAAATGAAGTGTTTTCTGTTACCGCTGCTATTGTACTTGGGATAAAAATGTGAAGAAAACATGTTGTGGATGTCCTATCAGAATCCAAGTTGTTATTACTGGAGCCACCACTCCTGCCCTACCAGCATTGATGACTTTAAAAAAAATTTAAAAGATCTGTAGGTGAGGTCAAGAAAGAAGAGCAGCTCCTGAAATTGGGTTGGGCCCTATCAGATTGAGAGTCAAGAGTTCTTCAGCGAACCTGAACGCTTTTCTCTCTCTGTTTTGATTTAGGTGTTAACAATCTTTTCTGCCTCCAACTACTATGAAGTTGGCAGCAACAGAGGGGCCTATGTCAAACTGGGGCCAGCCCTGACCCCGTACATCGTGCAGTATCAAGCTAACAAGGTGACCCACATGCTGACCATGAGGCAAAGGCAAGACTTTTTAATGAATGATTTTCCGAAAACCAGAATGACGGTGTTTGTGGAGCCTTTGAAATGTCAAACATCATTACATTTATCCACATTCTAAGTGAAAATTCAAAGTGTAGCCCTGTTAGCAGTAAGGTCTACAATAGACATTCTAGCAGGGGCCTCTTCCTTCTCCTCCATACACTTGAAGATCTGTACCGACCCGTCATGAATGGAAGTAACAAATTTGTTTCCTGCAGGAGTTATTCTCAATGGGCACATCTTGGGTAAAGTCCATGTACCAGGCCACTAAGTCTTTCCAGGGCCACTCTTCTGTTTTCTCTCATCTTTAAAGTGTTTGTGTTACTCCCTAAGCCAGAGCCGAAGGTTCTTTGCTTTCAAGGGGTTTGACAGATGGGTTTCAGTTCACACATTTGTTAGCAATGCCCTTTTCTCCCTGGGAAGGAAGCATATAATATTACTTAAATGGCTTCTGTTGAGATGCTTCTGAATTCTAACCTTAGTTGTGAGCTTACCACACACTAAGTGCTATTATAAAGAAGTTAAATGTAGTATCTAACAATGGACTTAAGAAATTCATACTAATTTCAGTTTTATAGAAGAGATCGTTAAAGAACACAGATGAAATCAGCTAGCCCATGGTCACACAGCTAATAACACAGTGAAGGCAAGCCTTGATACAGGCAGTCTTATTTCAGAAATCACATACTTAACAGACACGCAGGATTGCCTCCTACCAGGAAGATGGCCCCAGAGTATATAAGCTGCCAACAGATACAGTTTTAGTGCTACTGAGCAAGCTTCTGTAATTATCAGAGGAACTAATTCGAAATCAGAACAAATTTGACATAAACCCTGGAAAGAGAACATACTAATATTTACCATCTGCCTTGTGTGAGTGCTATAAAAGTGCATTATTTTAAATCACTCTTGAGTTACTGAATATGAAGAGTTATTAAACACTTAAGTTATTAAAAAAAATCAAGGCCAGCCTCACTCAAGAAGTTTTATATGAAAATTTAAACTCATTAAGTGATAGTCAAACCCCCTGTGCAGCAGAATCATCTGTGGAGCTTTACAAAAAAATCAGCCGCCCTAGCCTCCGCAGCCCCACCAAATTGGAATCTCCAGGGGTGGGCCCCAGGCAACTGGAATACCACAATTCCATATGGTTTAGGTACATATGGAATCACTACAAATGAAGTCACTGTAGGGAATCCTATAGAGAGTATGTTTTAGTAATATAATCAAAGAGCTCTTTGAGGGGCACCTGAGTGTCTGTCATTTAAGCATCCAGCTTCAACTCAAGTCATGATCTCATGGTTGTGGGTTCAAGCCGTGTTGGGCTCTGTGCTGACAGCTCAGAGCCTGGAGCCTGCTTCGGATTCTGTGTCTCCCTGTCTCTCTGCCTCTCACCTGCTTGTGCTCTCTCTGTCTCTCTCAGAGACAGATGTTTAAATGTTTAAAATGTTTAAACATTAAAATGTTTAAATGTTTTAAAATGTTTAAAATAAACATTTTAATTAAAAATATTAAAAAAAAGAGCTCTTTGAAATAAATATTCATTGATTATATTAAAGCAAGTAAACATCATCCAATTTACCCAGAAGTCACTTGTCCGACAACTTCAACTCCCTGGAGTGCAGTGGACACGTTAGATGTCTCTGACCATCTATGATTGATGTCTCAATGTCCATAAACTCAAGATCATGTCTTTTTCTTAGAAGAGCCCTCATTCAGAATCCATTTACTTTGGGTTTACACCCATGTCTCACAATAATAGGTCAAGATTGATTCCTGGTCCTACCCTGTATCAGCTATGTGACCTTGGATTACTGACTTTGTAATGGGCATAATAATCAGACCTACCTCAGTGGGTGTTGGAGGATTGAGATAACCATGCAGAGCTCTGCACTTAGTTAGTGTTCAATGTTTGTGGCTTGATGTAGAAACCGAGAGCCTTATACATCTAGACAGCTCCTGAGAGCATCACTATACTACATCCCTGCATGATAATGATTGATGACTGCAAGTTAGTAGAAGATAGTGCAAATGCTTTGCCAGACCAGTGGTTTGTTAACTTTTGGAGAGAAGGGAGTCCCATACTTCTTTTAACCTTTGATGAAACAGTGAACTCCCTCCAGAAAAAAACAAATAAATTCACGTACCCATACGATTTGGGATGAGTTTTGGGCACTTCACGCTCTACTAGGGGTCTGGTGGAGTCCACTTGAGGTCTATTATACTAACCACCTTAAACTGCAAGGAAAATTTTCATCAAGCATGATTAAAACTCTGTGTGTGTGTGCACGTGTATGTGCTCACGTGTGTGTGTGTAACTTTTAGCCGTTGAAAAGACAGGATATCCGGTCATAATTTATAGAATGGCTATAAATGAGGCATGACAAAGTATATATTTACCTTTATCTCTTTGTATCTTTTTATTGATTCAACTACAGATATTTATTGAACACTTACTTGGGCAAAGTGCTATGCCCAGAATTACCCTTTTGATCCAATAAGAATGAGAAAACTAAATTAATGTTATTTTGTTATTCAAAACCTGGCCTTGTGCCTATTTAACATAATAATAAATTATAAGGAAAGCATATGATTATATTAGAAGATACCATTTACTGAGTGCTTTCAATGTGCTGGGCTTTCTTCTAAGTGCTTTATATGAATTTACTTTTTTAATCTTCACAATAATCCTGTGAGGTAGGTACATTTTTAAGAAATGTTTATTTATTTATTTATTTTGAGAGAGAGAAAGAGAGAGCAGGGGAGGGGCAGAGAGAGAAGGAGAGAGAGAATCCCAAGCAGGCTCCATGCTGTCAGCACAGAGCCTGATGCGGGGCTCAAACTCACAAACAGTGAGATCACGACCTGAGCAGAAATCAAGAGTTGGACGCTTAACCAACTGAGCCACCCAGGTGGCCCGAGGTAGGTACCATTTTTATCCCTATTTTTCCCTTGAGGAAACTGAGGTGCAGTGCAGGTAGCTAACTTTACCACAAAGGTGGTCTTTTTCCAGAACTTTTGCTGTAACCACTCTTCTGCACTGGGTAGGACACAGTAGGTCCTATTTGTCCATGGCAGGGAGGAGTGGGAGGGCAGTGGGGAGAAATAAGAGATGAAACTCTTTGTTCAAAAACTGAGCTCTTCTCCCCAAAACTGAGTTCTAGGGAGGTTGAGACATTAAGAAAGAGAGAGGAGGAATGTGGTAAAAACAAAACAAAACCCCTCACTATTTCCTCTATGTTAACTTTTTAAAATGTTTCTTTTGTTCTCCTGTCCCAGGATTAGCAGAGTAGAGGAGTCAGCTCTGAGAGCTCTGCGGGAAAAGTTATTTGCTCATTCCTCAGATCTTCTTGGTGAATTTAAGAAGCATGATGCAGATAAAACTGGTAAGACTCAGAAAATAAAATATTCATAGAAGAAGGAAGCTCAACAACAACAACAACAACAAATCTGTCTTGCAGAAGTTATCAAATCAATATTTGTTGAATTAGTGGTAACTAATTGGGGCACCTGGGTGGCTTAGTTGGTTAAGCCCTGATTTTGGCTTAGGTCATGATCTCTTGATTTGTGAGTTCGAGCCCCTCATCAGGCTCTGTGCTGAGAGCTCACAGCCGGAGGCTGCTTTGGATTCTGTGTTTCCCTCTCTGTCTCTGCCCTTCCTCCACTCATACTCTGTCCTTCTCTCTCTAAGAAACAAATAAACATTAAAAAAATTAAATAATAATGAACTAAGATAACCAAAGGACATTCTTTGACTACTTTCTTCATTTTATTCAACTTAATGTTCCAGTTATCTTTTCTAAATTTTATAATTCCAAGCTTTTAACAGAATGTGAATGTAGCTAAATATAGATGGAGATGGTAAAAGTAAATGGAGTCAAGGGGAGGGTGACAAGGCCAGAACTAAGCAAAAAGCAACAGGTTTGGAAGGTTAGAAGAACATATCCAAGATTTGCAAAAGGTTAGTGATTTGGCTTCTTGTTATTTAGTGTGTACGTATCTGTTCTGTGCTCTGTTATTAAAGCTAGAAATTTTGTCTTTGCTCAACTTAATGGAATGTCTAATATACATTGACCACACATAGCCTTATTAGAAAATTAGTAACAGTCATAAATACATAGCAATATGTGTTCATATACATATCAACAACCAATGCTGTGTGTATATATATATATATATATATATATACACACACACACACACACACACACATATATATGTGTATATATAATGTATATATCTGTTCATATATATAATCATGTATAATATCTGTATGTGTATATACATATATACGTATATATGTATAATATCTATTCATATACATAACAAAAACCAATGCTGTGTGTGCCTGTGTGTAAAGTTTAGGATATTATTTATGGGAGTGTTGTGTGACTTTTCAATTGTTTTCCCAGGGTTAGCAAATAAAAACAGGGTAACTAATTAAATTTAAATTATAGATAGGCAACAAACAATTTTAAGGTCTAATAATGTCCCGTGCAATATTTGGGCCGTATACTTTGTGGTCTGTCTGAAATTCATATTTAATTGAGCATTCTGTATTTTATCTTGCAACCCTAGTTTCCAGTGTACTCGACCTTGACCAACAAAAATAGTGAGAGTGCCCATTATATCTATTACCTACAGACAGCAAGAAGTATGTCAGGATAGAAAGGCGTGCACTCTGGGCAGGACACTAGACTTATAAGTGACAAGTCAACAAATTAGCTCTTTCCTGTAGGTTTAATCACCCTTAGTGACTGGGCAGAAGCCGTGGAGTCTGTGTTGCATCTAGGACTGCCATGGCGGATGCTGAGGCCACAGCTGGTGAACAGCTCAACGGATAACACATTGGAGTACAAGTCCTGGCTGGAGGATTTGGCCAAAGAACAACTGAACCGTGAGGTAATGGTGTGAAAATGGTGGATGAAGGCACACTGCGGGCCATGAATCTCCTTATGGAGAGCTTTGAATCAGAAATAGTCAAATATTGAGAGCCCAAAAAAGAAGATGGATGAGAAAAAGGAACTATTTGTTGGGTTTCTATATGTCAGGTTTTGTGTTAAGCAACTTACATATGCTGCCTCAGTTTATCCTCAAAATACCTACCCGGTGAGGCTAGTATTATCAGTACCATTATACCTATGAGAACACCTCTCACGAAGCTTCTAAATTGTAGAACTGGGACTCAGACCCAGGTCTGCTGACTTCCTTGGCATTATGCTGCTTCTCCCACTAAAATAAAGAGAAGGATTTATTCAATAAATACATATTGAATGTTTAATGTACATGAGGCCTTGAGCTAAGTACTTTTTTAAATGGCTTTATTTCAGTATAAGTCACATACCATATAATTCATCCATTCAAAGTATATAATTCATTGTTTGTTTTTTGTATATTCACTGGTATGTGCAACCATCCCCATGGTCAATATTAGAACAGTTTCATCATGGTCTAGGTACTTCTTAAACCCTTGGGCTATTTGGTAGTCTGAAAGGGTTGGGGATAAAATATCTTCAGTTTTTTCAACCATATCTTATTGTCAGGGTTGATTCTGTGTTCCTTATATATTAGGACAAGCCTAAACAATAAGATATAGAAAGAAAAATGTCTTTTCTTTTGTAGAACATACAGTCAAGTTTGCTGGAAACACTGTATCGAAACCGATCCAATCTGGAGACCATTTTTAGGATCATAGACCGTGATCATTCAGGTAAAGGCATGTATTATCCTATCACTTCTGACCCATAGCAAATCTTTACCTCCCAGCCTCAGTCTCCTTTCTGGCTATTTACCTCTCTCCTCAAGCACTTTGGGAACAAAGTAAATAATTATTATGCTTATAAATGGCAGAAACTAGTAAAGTGTTTGAACAATACGAGCAATCCATATAGAAGAGGGGTAGGGCAGAAAAGAATGAAGACAAACTGAGAACTTCTCAGGAAAAAGAGTGGTTAGAAGATGTAATATCCCTATAGTCACACCAAAGATAGTCATGAAGTAATGAAAAGTGTCTAGAGCAGAAAGGCTTTTTACAATCTCACTCCCAACGTATTCTTTTTAAATTTCTGATTTTGGTAATTACAGATTCACAAGAAATTATGAAAAAATGTATAGGAAGGTCTTATATACCCTCACCTTTCCCCCCCAGTGGTCCAAAGGCTTTTTTCATTGTCATTACTCTTTCTCCACCTGTTTTTTGATGTAATTCACAAACCATATAATGTGCCCATTTAAAATATTCAGTTCACTGATTCTTGGTATGTTTATAAGGTTGTGTAACCATCATCACTATCTAACTATAAAGCCTTTCATCACCCTAAAAAGAAACCCATACCCATTAGCAGTCACTCTCCATCCCTGTCCCTTCTACACCAGCCCCTGGCAACCATTAATCCACTTTTTGTCTCTAAGGATTTGCCTCGTCTGGACATTTTGTATAAATGGAATGACACAGTATATGTGGCCTTTGGTGTCTGGCTTCTTTCACTTTGCATAATGTTTTCAAGGTTCATCCATGTTGTAGCATATATAAGATCTTTGTTCTTCTTTATAGCTGGACCATATTCCATTGTATGGATATGCCACATTTTGTTTATCCATTTAACAGTTGATAGACATTTAGATTGTTTCCACTTTTGGGCTGTTATGCATGATGGTACTGTGAACATTTATGTACAAGTTTTTATGTGAACATACGGTTTTATACTCCCTTGAATATGTTCCTAAGAGTACAATTGCTGAATCATATCATAAAACTATGTTTTACTTTTTGGGGAACTGCCAAACTGTTTTCTACAGTGACTAAAGCATTTTACATTCCTGCTAATGTTTGAGGGTTCCAATTTCCCCACATCCTCACCAGGACTTGTTACTTCCCACCCTTTTTTATAGCCATACTACTGAGTGTGCAGTATCTCATGGTTTTGATCTGCATTTCCTCAATTACCCATGACATTGAGCATCTTTTCATGTGCTTATTGGAAAATTGTATATATTCTCTGGAGAAATGTCTGCTCAAATCCTTTGCCTATTTTTTTTTAATTATTCATCTTTTTGTTGTTGATATATATATATACACACACACACACACACACACACACCATTATCAGATCTATGGTTTGCAAATATTTTCTCCAACTTTATAGGTTGTCCTTTCACTTTTTTGGTAGTTCCCTTTGATGCAAAAATTTTTTTAATTTAAAAAAAGTCAAATTTATTTGTTGTTGTTGTTTGTGCTTTCGGTGTCATATCTAAGAAACCATTATGTAATCCAAGGTCACAAAGATTTACACCTATGGTTTTTTCTAAGAGTTTTAAAGTTTTAGCTCTTCCAGTTAAGTCCATTTTGAGTTAATTTAAAGAAAATTTTTTTTATTGTTCATTTATTTTTTATTTATTTTTTTTTTTTTTTAATTTTTTTTTTCAACGTTTATTTATTTTTGGGACAGAGAGAGACAGAGCATGAACGGGCGAGGGGCAGAGAGAGAGGGAGACACAGAATCGGAAACAGGCTCCAGGCTCTGAGCCATCAGCCCAGAGCCCGACGCGGGGCTCGAACTCCCGGACCGCGAGATCGTGACCTGGCTGAAGTCGGATGCTTAACCGACTGCGCCACCCAGGCGCCCCTGTTCATTTATTTTTAAGAGAGAGACAGAGTGTGAGTGGGGGGGCGGGGGCAGAGAGAGGGAGACACAGAATCCGAAGCAGGCTCCAGGCTCTGAGCTGTCAGCCCAGAGCCCAACATGGGGCTCGAACTCACGAACCATGAGATCATGACCTGAGCCAAAGTAGGACGTTTAACCAACTGAGCCACCCAGCCGCCCCTTTTTTGAGTTAATTCTCGCTGGTAGTGCGAGATAGGGGGTCTAGCTTCATTCCTTTACATGAGGATATTGAAAAAACAATTCTTTCTCCACTGAATGATCTTGGAACCCTTGTAAAAAAAAGTCAATTGACCATAGGTGTATGGGTCCAAAAGCTTTTTATAAACAAAATAAATTATGTTTGGGATGATTTAATGCATGGTTTCTCAGCAATGGCACTACTGACATGTTAACCTGAGTAATTCTTTGTTTTGGGGTCCATCCTGACTACTGTAGGATATTTACCAGCATCCCTGGCATTTACCTACTAGATACCAGTAACACTCACCCCCACCCCAGTCATGACAATCAAAAATGTTTCCAGAGGAAGGGAAACAAAATTGCTCCCAGGGGTGATCAACTGATTTTATGCCACTCCCTTGGGCATTTAAACTAGATACAAGGCCTTGGGTATCTTTGCCTGTTTAACAGTAAGGAGCAGGTTTCCTTGTAAGAATGTCAGAGGCAATGAACATTGAAAACTAAATTGACTCATGCAAGGCACCTGAGTGGCTCAGTCAATTAAACTTCTGACTTCAGCTCAGGTCATGATCTCATGATTTGTGAGTTCGAGCCCCGCATCGCGCTCTGCACTAACAGCTCAGAGCCTGGAGCCTGCTTTGGATTCTGTGTCTCCCTCTCTCTCTGCCACTCCCCCACCCACGCTCTGTCTCTGTCTCCCCAAAATAAGTAAACTTTAAAAAAAATAGGCAAAAAAGAAGAAAACTAGACTGACTCACTGAAGTGACTTCTTCTCTTTGGTAAGGGTTCATCTCACTGGACGAATTCAGGCATACTTGGAAGCTGTTCAGCTCTCATATGAACATCAGCATCACAGATGACTGCATCTGTGACCTTGCACGGAGCATTGACTTCAACAAGGATGGCCACATCGACATCAATGAATTCCTGGAGGCCTTCCGCCTTGTGGAGCAATCCTGCTCAGAAGGCAATGCCTCAGATTGCCCACAAACCACAAACACTAATTAATGACAATGGCTGCAGCAAACCAGGCACACACTAAGAGCAGCCTGGTGTTCATCGCCCACGGTGCCTCATAACCAATACTGCACTTGTCGCTGGAATAGCTCCTTTATTCTCCATAGATATGTGGAATTTTATGCTGAGAATTTGCCTACCAGTGTGCATCAGAGTCACCTATTTGGGTGTGTGTGGGGTGTGTGTGTGTGTGTGTTTAAATATATAGGTAACCCATCCTCATCTCAGAAGTTTCACAAGGTAAGACCCATGTATAAATATTTTTAAATTCTGAAGTCTACCCCAGTTAAGAACCACCGATAATTCAACTCCCTCATTGTTTTCATTTTATACCTTTAACTTATTGTTTTTAAAATGTTGTATTGAGGGACACCCAGGTGGCTCAGTTAGTTAAGCAACTCAGGGTCATGAGTTCAAGTCCCATATTGGGCAATGCGCTGGGCATGAAGCCTACTTTAAAGAAGAAGGAGGAGGAAGAGGAGGAG